ATTAAAGAATTGCATCTCTCTATCTCTCCCTCTCTCTCTCCTTCTCTCTTTCTCTCTCTCTCAGCCAGAGATTCTTTTATCATTCCGACAAATCTGGGAGTCTAATTTTCTCCAAAGTATTATCAAATATTAAACCGTTTTGTCTTCTCCTCTTCTTATGACAACAAGAACAGAAATACACTCAGCGGCCTATACTGTTTTCAACCTAGGAGCTTGAAGATGTGCAGATTTGTTATAATAATCTTGCATGATAGATATTCTGATGATTTTGATTCAAGACTTTTAAAAATTTGATATAAAGATTCCACAAAAATATTTCAACATTATAACAATCTTGTATCCTGCATCAGACGAAACAACAAATTTCAAAAAGGGATATGATGATTAATCTGTCTGTATTTTTTTTTTTAAAGACATAGATATAAACAGATTTTATGTATCCACTTATTCTTTTTGTTTTTTTGTTGTTGTTATTATCATTAGCATTTTTTGTTTGTATGCAAGAACTGTTATGAAGTAAAATAATGTGTACATTTTAATAAAAGCATTTTCTTCAATTTAAATTGAGTTCTTCATCACTGGATGATTTCTTCTCAATTCATTTTGAAATACAAATTTAAAAACCAGAAAGCATTCATCTGAGATTGACAGTAAAGCCTTGGAAGGTCTCTTCCCTCTCACTTGTAAGGATATCTAATCAGGAATAGGGATAGCCCATGCAGGTTGACAAATTGGATTCCCTTTCCGCCCTTCCAGACATAACTAGCCTTGTTGAGTTGTTGAGTTCTATGAACTCTGATGCCCGAGAAAAATTCAAACATCAAATGTATGACATTCTTCAAAATGTTGGAGATCAGTGTTTATTTATCATTTTCTTATAATAATAATAATAATAATGTGTCTTGTTTACCCAGGGTAGCCTCATCAGTATACAAACTGTTCCCTGAGGGCCCTGCAATCATATCAATATCATTACCCTAGCTTATGATTTCAATAGGTCTTGAATGGATAATATTGGTTTACGGTTTGGTAAAATTTGTTTCCTGAAGTATTAATAGAATGCTGCATATAGAGCACATTCTTTTTCAAAGTAGTCTGGTCTCCATTTAGATCTCATGACAGAGTCTTGATCGACAATAAATAATACCTCAAAATTCAAGATTGTTCATATTGTCTTTTTTTTGTAGTATTGTAATGATTGGATAACTGTATTCTGTAAGAAGGTTATTTTCAAAGAACAAAAAGTTACTATCAAAGTTTTGATATCATTAGTGTCTTCATCATCTTGCGATTTTGACAGCATAGCTTTACCAAGTATAGTTGTCAGTGATTGGTTTGGTCAGGCCCTGGTTTGGTCAAAACAAATAGTCTTTTGCGGAAGTCTTATCAAGACTGCAGTAGGTGCTTGGTTGGAGTGTGACCTCAGACGAGGACAAGTCTGATTGGAGTGGTGTGGGCCCCCCTGCTAGACAGGATCTAGGTCCCTGAGGAGGGGGATGTGTCTGGTGTTTGGTCCCAAGAGAGGGGTCATCAGGGGCCAATTTACAGGGGAGGGGGAAGGGGAGGGTGGAGATGTACCTTTGACCTACTTGCAGGATGGCCTGTCTTGCAGACCAATGATGTTTGTAAGGTTGATACAGACAGTGACTAGAAGGAAATTTAAATGGCAATTTTGCCTTCCTTTGGACCATGCTTTGAGATAGAAACTATGTGCAAAGTCCATGCTTGCATTATGTGTTATTCACCTAGTTGCAAATAATGAAATTAAAACAATACTCCAATAGAACACAACTTCAATAATGATAATGTCTTTCTTATTTTTGCATACTGGATCACTGATAACTTATTATGTCTTTCAATTTAATTTACTGGATGGCTTTAACTTCTTGGTTTTCCCAATTTGGCTTGGTGAGATCTCATATTTATATAAGTCATTTTTTATTTTAATATAAGTGCTGCTTTCATGAATTAGTGAACTCATATGTTAGCTTTATTGGTTATGATCTAGCCTATGTCTATGGGGCTATCAGTTTTGGGATGACATCCTAGTCAATATTTTCTTCTGATCTGGAGGGGTGGTGGTCGGACAAACTCCTAGAATTATCTGACTTTTTGAAGGGTTAAGAAATCTTTTGATTATACCAATTCAATTATACCTTTAATACTGATAATCTTAAGAATTATTTTTAGCACTTTGAAATCCAAAGACGTCTCCCATACCAGCATGCTGCCTACCCAGCATGTATTTATTGTGCATTGGTATCAGGGGCATTATAGTGCAGTGCACTGTGTGCCTATACCCACACAATGCACTTACAGCTGGTGGCACTCTTGTCACTCACGCAACTCATGAATAATTCATGAGCCACCTCATTTACATACTGATTGACAGACGGCCCTACCACTTCCATGTGGGTGGGTGGGTGGAAGCAAAGATGATGGTGCTTCCATATGACTAAATGAGGGGTAATAGGAAATGTTTTTGTACCAATTTTTTTAATTTGATGATCAGCTGTGTAATCCAAGGTCATCAGACAATCGATTTGGGAACACTGTTATCTTGGAAATAAGTCACATGTCTTTCTTAAATATCTTGTTTTCGGTCCGTACCCATTTACTTCCTTCCGTTCCCCTCCGGATGTGAGTGATGATAGATCAATCCATGCATGACTAGCCGTCACATGTAGTGCGTTGTCCTTATACACAGGGTGAATACACATACACACACTGGGTTCTATTGTAATTGAATCCAAAGGATTTCTGTGTGTGTGTGTGTGTGTGAGGGCGATGAGGCAATAGTTTAGTTTTCCAAGAAACGTGTAGTCACTCCAGTGGTATGTTAGGGGTCAATAGCGCTCAGGAAGGAACACAGGAAGAAGCAAAGGGAAGGATAAAAGGCACTTGAGTTCTTTCCTTTTGAGAGCAGCGAAGACATGGTAATGAAAGGGTGTTTTAGTTTCAGGGAAATGCCTCCCTTTAATTCTAAAGGTTCATTGGATCGTTGATCTCATGAACTCAAGATGCCATGTATATGGCTAATTGGATTATCATAATCACATAAGCTGTTGGAAATTTATTTACTCATGAAAGAAAACTGAAGAATCGGTCACAGCAATCACCACTGGTATGATAAGAACAATAGTATACGTATACGTATATCTTTCTCAAATTTTACAAAGGAAATCACCTGTGTCACAGAATAAGTGATTCACACCAGAATGGTATGTCCTATTTTGGGCACAGAAAGTTTTTAAGTAGGTCCACTGAAACCAAGAGTGGGCAGTATACCATTCTGTTGGTGTGCTGATGTAAAACTAAAATCGGAGGAAATCACTAAATTCTCTACCCTTATTTGGGAAATACCCAAAAGAGAAACATGTATGAGATATCTTCAGTAATATTCAAAGACAAGACACCCTGTAAAAAAGGTGCACATACTACAGATTGACAGGAAAGTCACGTACATGAATTGAATGGAAGGCACAGAACCAGGACATGGAACTTGATTTCAGAGAAAAATAAACAGAACATTCAGACATTCATATATAGTTTAGGAGGATCAGAATGTCTTTACTTTTAATAGACTCCTCCAAGCAATTAATTCCTTTCCGAAGTCAATACATGGACCCCGATAACAAAGATTAAATCTTAATAAATTGTATAATTGAGGCACTTGACACTTGGACATGTAAACATGGGAAATGCCTTTCATTGATTTCAATTTCATCTTGTATCGTAACCTAAACTCATTTCTCAAGTGCCTACGTCGTAAACAATAATACTTTACACACCATTCACAACTTATCTGAATATCTGTACATCAGCCAAATGTCTAAAGCAGGAAGGCCGTAGTTTAGAATCAGGTTCTTTTTCAAACAAGGAACTTTAGATAGGGGAAACCCCATCGTTGTCCTGGAGTATGGTATGACCTACTTCTCGGCCTTTCTTGATTGGTTTCAAAATAAAACAACCAAAGGGAAGCAGGAAAGACAGGAATGCTATAGTACCAAGCAACGATATCACCATATATAATGCAATTATACAAGAAGTTGCATAATTCTGCTGGCTAATGGTTATTGTATCGGTGTATTTGATGCCCTTGTTACCCAGCGCTATTTACTTACCGGTAGTTACATCAGGAATACCAAAATGAGGTTTCCATTATGTATCCATTATGTATCGTTATTTATTTATTAATTATAATCAATTGGTATACTTGATTATTAATATATAATCAAATGGCACAAGAAAATGCAATCATATAATTTGAATTCATACATGTCAAATGGCATGCCAAACTTAAATTAATAAGCACTTGATATTTGGTGAGCATGATTTGCAGTATTATTCAATTTCCATTGAACCCAACAATCACTATCTTGGGTCCCTTGCAAACAAGGAGGACATTGTGTAGATGAATTACACAGTAACTCATACCATAAGCTATGATTCATATGCTGAAGCAGTAGAGATATATGTGAGAGGAGGTGGAAGAGGAGGAGAGAGAGAGAGAGAAAGGGGGAAAATAAAGGTTGAACTTTTGGCTGACCTTTCTAATGACTCATGTTGAGTGTGAGACATGGATCATGAGTTATCAGCTGTTAAATGACGATGTTCTTTTCAACTACTAATGTCACTATGTTGGGCTCTCTACACAGTCCTTTACCTGGGAAACATTTCCAGGTTCTGATGGGCATTTTATAAAAAAAAAGCGTAATTTGAAAGAATTAATAAACCTGTTCTGGGGAAAGGAACTGTTAAAGCACAGGTATTTATTTAGCAAGTTGCTCTCTAACATATTAATAGAATATATTAATTATGTTATATTCAGATATGTTCATCAATTGCTCAATTTCATTTTTTTTTAATGTAATTCAAATTCTGCTGAAGGAAACCCATAGTAGAATAAAAGGTCCCATTGATAGACCCCTTCATGTATGCAATTAAGTGTGCAATGATATTAACAGAGCTGTGTTTCTTCTTCTTTCTTCTTGCTACAGATAATATTCAGCATCAAGGGCAGGCTTCGAAGCCGTGGTCTTACTACAATCCTTACCAATCATCGGTCGCCCAACCCTCGGACACATCAATCCTCTCAGCACAGATCAAGACTGAACCTACGGAGCTTGCGTTGCTAGGTCAGCAGAACTCTACCCTTCAGCAATATCCCAAGCCTGATTCCCTCTACCCCACCTCCATCACCCGGTCCAGCGAGGTCCAAGACCCCCGCTTCGTCTACCCATCGACTCCGGCCGCCGTCAGCTCGGTATCATTCACGCCTTCTTCCATGTCAGTGCTGTCATCCGGGGTCGAATCACCGCGCACCATCTTGCCAATGACCCCCAATCCGTTCCCTCTGTCATCTCAAGATATCTTCTCAAGCTCCTCCACCGCCACGCCCGTCACTCTAACGTCGCCCCCTTACCTGCCAAACTCACCCCCCTACCCTCTCTACCCGCACCTCTACATGTCGTCTCCGTCGTCGCAAACCTACTACGATAGCTCACATCTACCAATGCTGCCATCGTCAACGAGACCGGAGGACAAGCAAGAGATCAAACATGATAACAGACCTGGGGAAGGCATCCCTCATATCCCTCATCCTGAGATGTCTCTGACGGTGGCTCTTAACTATGGTAGCCATCCTCAAAGCCAGATTGAACTCAATACAGCCAGGACCATGGGACAGAGCATGGGTGGGATGCATAACAGTGGGGTAGCGCTCATGCAGCAACATCGAAACCACAGCCCTGTCACTAACATCTCACCCATGCAACAAAGCATGGGACAAATGAATATCAACACCACCGTCGGACATTTACCCACCGTAGACGACTCAAGAAAAGAGGACGTCTGGCGGCCATATTGAATCCTAGAAGATCGTTGAGAAACTTTTGAGACTGTCTGTGTGAAGGATATGGACTCTATTTAATAGATTTGAAATCAGCGTATTCTCTGCAACACTGCTATGTACCTAGGTATTGATTCAGACTTGATGCAAAGTGGATTGCAGTGATCTGCATAAATGATGTGAGGTTTAACTCCTCAGCTTCTAATCATGTTGACTGGAGAAACACCATCCTGGCTCCTTAAAGTTTTATAATATTCATGATTCATTATTTCAATGTCATTCCATTCCATGTAGTCTCATGCACGTGTTTGTGTGTGTGCGTGTGTGTGAGCTGTATCATATTGCTTCACATTATCATCATCATCATCATCATTCTTGAATGAACAGAGGATTTATGGAGTGTACATAGTGAATTTTATGTACCATATAGTTCAAATGTGTGAGACGAAAGGCATGAATTGATATTGCAAGATTCATGTACAGTAACAATTATCTGCAATGCAAGATTCTACACCCTACTAAAGAAATATAACTCATGTTTTGGATGATTGTATTGTCTATTAAGAGTCTGAAAGGTATGAATTCATATGCTCTAACACAGAGTTAACGCCCTCCCGGCTCTCAACAGACGATCACATGATAGACAAGCTTGTCACGAAACAAGAACAAATTAATACTCATTCATTGTAAATGTCGTAGTAGATATTATGAAGCTCACCTTCATGTACATACAGATACAGAAGTTTTCTTTCGTCTTCAAACTTGTAAAAAGAATGAAATGTGTGTTTTCATTATTGTGATAAGTACAGCAATGTTATCAAAGACCCTGTGCAATGAGTGAAGTGGATATTATCGAGACTCTTCATAAGAGTCGAGCGTGTATTTTTTTTAAAGGAAAGAGAACATATTTTGAATTTGTAAAATATGTGAATATTTTGACGATGGGGCTCCATGATGTGTATAAGTTTTTATTTTGATCAGCATTGATGTTACATAGAATGTCCCAAGATTTGTAAGTGTATGCAGTATGAAATATAGATAAGATATCTTAAATGGGGGGGGGGGGGGGGGGAGAAAATAGTAGGTGAGAACTGAAAACATAAACGTGCTTTTTAGCAGGGTAGATTTATGATTTGAGATTATGGTTTGACTATTGCAGTATGCTTGAAGTTTCAACTCGAAGAGGTTTTTGGTGATTTCCTTCCTTTAATTGCGGGAAATTTGTGGGTTTTTCATCTCAAAGGGACAATCTCTTTGTGAGACAACCATAATATATCTTAACTCAATATGTGTGGCAATGTTGGATCAAATTTTTTTTTTTGAGAGAGAGAGAGAATTACATGAAGGTATGTAGTTCTTGAAGTGTGGTACAAAGGTTCAACAAATTTGTTGGTTTTTTTTTTCAAATTGAAAAGATCTGTGTTAATTATTTTGAGATATCTGAAATGTTGATTATTCATATTCATATGCCAGTATACATTATGTATGTGACAAACTTTTCTTTCATATAGAATGGGCCTTTTTGCACAGTGTTACGCCAGCCTTAAATTTAAGTGATATTTTAATGATAATCCATGCTTTTTCAATTTATTCATCAACTTGCTGTCATTCACCGATGAGTTAAAAACTCAAATGTTCATTTTCATGTGGAAAAGTTAATTGTTTTGTAATTTATTCATATTCTTTCATCTTTTCATTACTTTCAATGATATTAATTTAGATCGAAATCAAGGTCGTAAAATGTAATGAGGTTTTCTTCGCCCATCTCTGATATTGTATAGTGCTTTGTAATGTAAACTTGTTCTTATCCATATACAACATCGCTGGACTTGTGTCATATTTCATGCATCAAATTGTAGAAATTAAACTATTATCTCCTTGAGGAACTACATTTATACAATCAAAACCCTTTTCCGTGATCTATAAATTCAAATATTGGAATCCACATATATTGGAACATGAATTAATCCTTAATTTATTGAAACATGAATTAATCATTGGTCAATTCAGCAAACTATTTAAATTTGTAATATATTCCTAACCACATTCTCTTCAGTGAGGCAATAGATATTTATTGGTAGCAAACAGTTATTTATACATCATATTAAACATGCCACCTTTGCCTTTTATAAAATAAATTAATTCATCTGATCATTTTTACAATGTAGTCCCAACATTCCAAAAAATTTGATATGTTTTGCCCTTGTATTTTGCGTGCCATTATCAGATGAGAAAATAATCCATTTCCTTTACAGAAGTCACGGATGTGGGATGAATAAAAGAAAATGAAAATGTCAAATATGTTTCTTAATGTAATTTTAATACTGATGTGTGGGTTGTATTAAACCTACACTTTAGATATGTGATGAATTTCTTTTCTTTGTGTCTTTATTTATTGAAACCTGTAAAAGGTAGTGCAAATGAATTATTATGAGGTCCATAGTAAGGTTGTATTCCATGTGTTAATAATCAGCTTCGTTTTGTTATGTTTGTGATTTTTACAGGGATTAAAACACTCTGTTCACTTTGAAGAATATGTTGTCTGTGCTAATCTTTGTTTTGTGTTTCTTATTATCATCATAAAGATACAAAGTATTGTATACAAGCTTCGACCAAAAACCTGTTATGGAGCAACAAAATATAATTGCTTACGCTTCTTGTGAAATCAACAAAATAATTTTTCAAAAAAGACAGAGAATAGGGAGTTAGAAATCGTGAGAGAGAATTAGAGAGAGAGGGGGAGGGAAGAGAGGGGGAGAGGGGGAAAGGGGGAAAGGGAAGAGGGAAGAGGGAGAGAGAGAGAGAGAGAGAGAGAGCGAAGCGGGAAAAGAGCGAGAGAGAGAGAGAGAAAGAGGGGGGGGGGCTATATAAAGAGGCGCTTTTCGGTATGAGACATTCTGTGTTTTATGTTTGGTGTTTTTTATGTGGTACAATGTAGCTGAACAATAAAATTTGATGATGATGATGACGATGATCATCATCATGATTACAATTGCGACAATGTATGGCCATATGGCATTGATAATTGTGATAATGGTGGTGTCGGTGGATTATGATGTTAAGCATGGTGATGATGACGATGATAAGAATTATTGTAATGATTATGTCGATAAGATGCCATATAAATGATATAAATCAAACAGTATACACGAAGAAAGGAAGCCATGACTCCAACTTACACACGGTACTTTAGATTATGATTTTTTGATTGAATAATTAATTAAATACAATATAAGTCCATAGTTCCATACAAGATTACATCTATAGCTGTAAACTACAAATGTTCTACATGATTTACACCACCCCTTCCTTTCCGACCACTCATTAGCCCTTTATGCCACTCGATTAACTTAAGGATTTTCCGGTATAGCAACAAGTAATGTAGTGCATTCATGAATAACAGGTCAATGGAACAACTCGTTGCTAGGTCGCCAGGAAAGAAACATCGATCAATTTGAATATGTTAGTAAACCGGCCTAGTTATTTCGAAAGGAAAACATGGTGTCATTTTTTCCTGCGAAGATGATCGCCAAATTTTAAAAGGAGACGGGCAAATACTATTGAAGTTGCCATAGTTTTTTTATTTTTTTAATTGCGAGAGTGTTAATTAAGTTCATCTTCGAATACAGACATGATGAACTGCCCAAAATTCTATTTTTTATATTTCAAATTCAGCAAAAAGCAATGAAGTGTGAGACAGATAATCCGATTTACTTTTTCTTTCTGTGAGCGGAAAATGCTTGCAACTTTGTGCTGTGTCTCGCGAATAGCCCTTGGCATCTGCAGTGTATGTTTTTATTTACATACAGTTATATGCCTACGTCGACATATTTGTGTCTCACGAATTTCCTTCGGCATCTTTAAATAATAATGATAATAAAAACCATACTTATAAAGCGCTTTCCACTGATTAACAAGTCTCTAAGCGCTATAATAAACAAAATACAATGATAAAAAATTACATATTAAACAGAACAAAACAAATAAATAAATAAACCTACAAATGACAACATATAATCATTATACATATATCTTTGTGTTATACATTAAAGGTAACCGTGTTCTTCTTTTCCGGTTAATGCAAAAAATGTAAATGATTTGATTATTGCCTCAATAAAATACGATACACCTACTTTCATGAAACAAGAAAACCAATATCCAAATGATTATGGCAGAAATTTGCAAACGCCGCAAGCATTATGAACCCCGGGTTGCCTGATTTGACTTTCAATATTTGACAAGTTGTGCTATCGCGTTTCCCGCGCAATTCTTCTGGGGCACATGTGAGAGAGGGACGGCTGGTGAAGACCATGGAACACTGAATACTTGATGAACATGGTGTAATGTTACTCCCATCCTCCTCCCGCTTCTCACCATCATCCTCGCCGTCATCTTTGGCGGGATGATTGGTCGTGAAGTGGACCGGTCCCCGAGGTGTTTTACAGCTGATCAAAATACATGAGACGGGTATAATGTTGTGCCGTTTTGTGTCATTGTGTTGAACGTCCAAGGTAGGAGAGGGGTCAACACTGAAGTAGGCAATTTTCTCATCTCTGCACTTCACATCTTACTCTGAAATATCCATATTCAAAATGAGGAACAGTTGGAAAGAAAAAAACCGAACATTTCTTCTCCATTTAAGGCACTTAAAATCATAAGTAGCTTTGAGGAATGGATAATCGTGGTTCAAAATGACATGCCATTTAAAGATACTTCTAATATCCAAGCTTAAAGCCCGTGTACCGTATCACACCTTGGTCACACTAACCTACGAGACCGACATCGGACCGAACAAAGACCGTACAATAAATGGCATATCCCCTAATTTGTCCCTCTTTTCCTACACATTTTATTTAATTTGAAAAAGGGGGAATCTTTATATTTTTATTATTCAAAATTTCAGGAATCTCTCAAACTTATTTTGAGGTTATAAATAGGCCTACACGTTTCAAGAAATCATTTGGACATTACATATTTTACATTATTTTATAACAAAAATAACCTAAACAAAAAATATTTTTGTCACGACGTGGGTGAATTCAGGTGCAGTCGGAAACCATAAAACCTTTTAAATTCCCGGCTTATAAGTTTGACATGCATTATTTATTAATAATGTTATTGGTTTTGGTTAAAATATCAAGATATCAACAATACTAAAAGCCTGCAGATGCGTTCTCTTATTCTAAATGGAGTAAAAGGAAATCGGAGGCGTTTCGGTTAATTCTATTTTAGATTTTTAACTCCTTTCAAATGTGTACACACTGCAAACAAACAGATCTTTGTTAAGTTTACTTAATTAGCTAAAATGATGAAAAGTGTAACATTTTCTATAGTTTCACTATCTTTATTTCTTTTAAACGTTCACTTTAACGATACATGTTCCACTGGAAATTAGCTCTCGAGCTTTCGTGGGTTATTCTGTTCCAGCTGACTTAATTTTGTATGTTGGAAGCTTGCTGAATAAAAATCAATCAATCAATCAATCAATCAAGTCAGTCTCAAAGTTGATTAAAATCAGTTATTTGTGTAGCAACAACACAACTGAATTTCTTTGCATTTATGTATCTACTTCAGATGGTATTTATTTAATTGACTTCATTACGCATGCATGTACAATGCACTTCTTATCAATAATATTGAAAGTGACTTTAATTTCCCTTGCTATATACCCTATGAAGGATTATACATGTTAAAATATGTGTGACGATAATGGAGTAGATTCTTTTGCCTTTACTCTTTCACTTGTGATGATAATTATCTACTACTGCGTTTCAAAACGCAGTACAATAAGAATAAACTCATAATCATTATATTCCCTTTAATATTAAAGGTTGATTATAAATAATATTGTTCTCTACGAATTTTGAGAAATGTCATTCCTTATATTCTAAGAGATATCAGTAAGCAATTTGACTACTTTCGCAACCATGTCAAATAATGCCTTTAAGATTCATCTCCAAGACACCGTGTACCCTTGTTTATATTTGCCAACCCCAAGGCGAAGAATTTGTCATTCTATGATTTGAATAAAGTATTGCAACATTATTATAGAAGCGGGACTGTTAAGCACTTGAATGACTTTAAGAATAACTTATTTGGGAAGTCCACCGCTCCAGTCGCATAAATCTCGATTCCAGTGGCGTAGCAAGGGTTCCTGTCGGGGGGGGGGGGGGGGTGAAATGGTCTTCAAGGTGCATGCATGAAATACTACCGAAAGGTTAGTTCCCCATCTTTAAGTATGACAAATATTTTTTCCTTTGGAAAATGTTTTCAATTCTTTTATTCATTTTGTCCCTTGTCGTTATTTTGGCAAGCCAATCGAGGGCAAGTCCCTTCGTGCTCTAGGCTATTGCTTGGCTCCCTCCCTCCCTCCCTCCCTACCGTTATATCCCTTTCTTCACTGCGCCCCAAAGGAACCCACGGGACTACGCCATTTGCCCTTGACCATTTACCATCTTCCGTTTTTGCGCTTCATCTTAAAGCGAAACCAAATGGGATTCCCCAGAAAGTTTATAGGAAACACTATTAGTTTATAACCATATTCCAAAGAATCAATATTGAAAGAAAACTCTTTTTACATTATGTATTATTGTGCAACTTGAGATGGGTAGTTCCTGCCACGAGCCATGATGAAATACTTTGTATCAAAGCTCGAGGAACAGTTGAAGAACTTCTAGCAGTTTAGAAAGTCAGATACTGACTTGTTTTCATTCTCTTCCCCCTATTTTATAGTCTTTTATAGTATTAAATCCAAGTTACAAATAACGTCAGCTTCTTAAACGGCATTTCAATGTTCATTATAATAAAACGTCAATTTATAATTTATAGCGCAGTATACTATATGAATCTACTTTATATACTGCGCTTAATACAAAGTATTACCTTGGGACCCCGGGAAGAACAGATCAACTCTGTCGGTTGATCTGAAGCGGGCAATCTCGATCTTCATTTTAATAATTTTTCTTCGTCTTCTTCTTCTTTTTCTGGATAATCTGCCTCCTTCAATACTGAAGATTCTTGCAGATGTATATACTGGGGTGTGCAGGTGGACCACTGCACCGGGGTTTCCCCTACTCTTATACGAATAGTGCAGTGGGTTCTTAACGTGCAAAGGTGGTGACTCTCCTTTACACGGGGCCTCCATTTAACGTCCTATCCGAGGGACGGGTGTGTTTTACATTCGACATAGCCTGCGTCTATGAAACAATGGGAGGGGCACGTGAACACAGAACGCAGGCTCTAGAATAGTCCTTGTAAAATATTTTAGAGTTTTGTTCCTTCAGTGTGTATGATGTTTGTATTTTATATTTTATGATTGTAAATAAAACCAAACCAAACCAAACATTTTACCCCGGCTGTAACTGAGCCGTCACGATAAGGCGTTATTAAAAGCATTCAAGGAATTTCTTCCTACCGGGTACCGATTTACTTCGCCTAGGTGGAGAGTGGCAAATGTAGATTAATGGCTTGTCAAAGGACATTGGTGCCGCAGAGGGACTCGAACCAATTAGTAGCACGGAAGCCACGGATG